AACTATGTACTGTACTGGATGCTGGGGAGGTAGTGGTAAAGAGGACAGATATGGTCTTTGGAGGTAGTAAGGGAAGGTTTCTTAGAGGAGATGGATGGGATCTAAATGAAGAGTTACGTTAACTAGACAAGGAGGGGAACAAAGGAAGAGAGTTCCAAGCAAAGCAAAGAATGAAGGCAAAAGTCCTCTTGCAGAAGGGAACATGGCTCATTTGAGAAAGAGCAAGGAGACCACTGGCTGGAGCAGAGCGATAAAGGTAGAGAGTGGAGGGGGATGAGGGCAGAGGAGAAGAGGATGGAATTCTCAGGGCTAGATGAGCTGCAGTGAGGAGTTAGGGCTTTATTCTAAAATTGATAGTGGCAACAAACACCATAAGCAAGGTCAAAAGGCAAATGCCAAATTTAGAAACAATTTTCCAACAGAGATATATAACTCGTTGCTTTAATATATAAAGAGCTCCTACAAATCAATAGGAAAAAAGACTAATAATCTAATAGCCAAATGTGCAAAGGATATGAATAAAACATTTGCAGAAGAGGAAGTACAGATGGTTCTTAAACCACAACATATGCTAAATGAAATAATACACATTTTCACAAATACCATGATAAAGAAGGGCATATTTTTTTAAAAAAGAGAATAAACAAATCTAACGAGAGGAAGCCTCGCATAGATTAATGATGACAATATACCTGAAGTAAGAATGGTTTATGATTTACTCAACCACCTGTACCTAAGGTCAAAGTGGAGGATATTCAGCTTCACACATAATAAGAGTTGCAAGTGACAACCACAGTGAGATATCATTTTCACCTATCATGTTGGCTCAGATAAAGGTGACAACATGATACTGGTAAGGATGTGTGGAAACAGTGAGTACATCTATTACTGGTAGGATAAAAATTGGCCCCACCTATAAGAAGGTGGAGATCACTATCAAAATGGCAAGTTTTGACCCCTGATCAATCATCTCCTGATAGCATACTCCAGTTATACTTGCACTTATATGAGATTATGTGGGTACTTATTACTAACAGCAAAATATGGGAAACTATTTAAATGTCCATCATTAGGAGATGGGCTACAAAAATTATGGTGCATCCAGACAATGAAAACTCTGCCAACCTTCAAAAGAATGTGTTTGGGGTGGGATCTTTATATGGTGATGGAAACTATCTCAAACATATATTATTAAGCAAAAGAAGAGATACTTTTAAAGTACATTTGGTACATGAATGTCCATAGCAGTGTTATTCACAATTGCCAAAAGGTGGAAAAACTCAAATTTCCACCAACTGATAAGTGAATAAACAAAATATGGCATATCTATATCATAGAATATTGTTCAGCCATAAAAAGGAATGATGCACTGACACACATGGTTGAACATTGTGCTGAGTGACACAAAAGGACATATATTGTATGATTCCATTTATATGAATATCAATACTAGGCAAATCCATAGAGACAGAAAGTAGATTAGTATTTCCCAAGTAGGAGGAGGAAAGAATGAAGAGGAATTGCTTAATGGGGTCGGGGTTTTCTTTTGGGGTAATGAAAATGTCTTGGAACTAGAAAGAAGTGCGCAACACTGCGAATATGCTAAATGTCACTGCATTGAACACTTGGTGAATTTTATGTTACATAAATTTTACAATATAAGAAAGTATATATTGTCCACTATCATTTATGTAAAAGTGGGGAAAGAAATATATATGCATGTTTGCTTGAATGAACATAAAACATCTCTGTAAGGACACATAAGAAACTTCAGATGTCTCTTGGAAATGAACTGGGTAGAAGAGGGACAGGAGAGAGAGAGATGTTTTTCTGAATACCTGGCTTCAGGCAGGGTTCTATCCGGGTTGCCATTCTTTCGCTGTCCTGGTGGACTGTAGAAATAACTACTCCAACAAACAGCGCAGCAACTCCATCAGAAAGAAGTTTCCATCAGCCTAATCATCTACCAAAATCATTGGGTTGCATGTGTCCACCTCCATCTCTGGATAAATCAGGATTGCTCAGAGAGATGGGCCACAGCACTCATTGTGGGTGGAGTCAGCCCCTCCAACTCTCATTGATTAGAGAAGGAAAAGTTACATATTCACAGGGAAACCAGGGAACTGAAACTGTGGAAGAGAGAAAAGATGCCAGAAGGGAAAAGGCAGGATGAAAGAAATCCCATGCACTCATCTCTGGAAACCATTGCCCCATTATAGGAAGCTAAGGCCCAGCTGGATCTCCAGGCGGTCTAATCAAGGAGCTGGACTCCGTCTTCAGAGGAACAATTTGTACCTGGGAGCTCAGTCAAATCTGGTATTGAAAGATGAAGTTATGTCAACTATCCCACTTCTACAACCAGATCAGAACTTTACATGTTTTTCTCTTCTCCTTCTGTTTGTATCTTAGAAACTTTCAATGCTTCTCAGCCCACGCTACCCCCCATCCCACACACACACCTACACCACAGGAAAATTTGCAACTTCTTTACCTTCTAGGAGTAGGAATCCAGTGTCACACACTTTGTGCCCCAGGATATTGAGAGGAAACACAGGCCAGGCCCGTAGGGAGTGGCTTAAAGAAGAGAGTAGGGGGAGGATGGGGAGAGAGGAGAATGAGGAGTGAGGTGTGGTCTTGAGGAATGAGGGGAGATGCTCTCGACTGAATTGTCACCAAGTCTCCCCAGATGGGAAACATTACTAAAATGCATTTGAAGTAATTCTTCACCAGCTGCTTTTTCTCATTGATAAAAAAAAAATTTTATTGAGCCCCTGCTATATGCTTTGTACTCACTGGGACCTCAGAACAGCCCTGGTACAGAGGAGGAAACAGGCTCAGGGGTTTTGTCACTTGGGCACAGGTAGGATTCGAACTGAAGCCAACCTCGTTCCCAAACCCACCAATGAGTTTTCTCTAGATGGAGAGGGCAGTAAAGAGGGTTCCAGGAGGGACCTCAGTGCTACTCCAGGTTAGCTTGGAACTAGGATTTCTCATGGCTGGGTGGCTCTCAACACTGGAGAGTATGGCTGGATCCCAACTTCCTAACAAGAATCTCCCCTTAAAACTTGGAGCTCAGATTGGATTTTGAGATTTAAGAACGTTCCATCTCTCCTGAATCTCTAAGAAGGGAAATGTTGGGGGGGTGGGTGGCATTAGGGAAGGAGAGAGGAACTTAGAGAATAGGAATCTCAGAGAGAAAAGGGGAGCCCAGTGCTTGCACAGCGCAAAAAGCCAAGGCACACCAGTGCCTCAGGTTGTTCATCTGCACAGTGGCAATGAAAATACCTGGGTGTCGCAATGGTGTCTCGTGCACAGCTGCTGTCTGGGATATAGTTAGCGTGCATATGGAGGGTGTTCAGCAGCTCCATAAATCCAGCTTTGTCTGGGCTGCTGCCTGAGGCTGAGCCAACGTGGTGCAAGGGTAGCTATTAAGCCCTGTTGAGCAGTGAGAAGTTCCTGAGAGCTGGGGCATTGGTCGTAATAGGGATGACGTTAACAGTCTCTATGATGACAGCTCGGCAAGGGAAAGCCTAGGGGAATAGATGTTCTGTTACCTCAGACTCTTCAGTTTGGTCTCCATGGCAACAGCTGTGGGGTCCAAGCTGCCTAGGGGTGGAGCTTGGAGGGTGGGAAGAAGCTGGGGTGGGCCTGGGGAAAAAACAGCTGGTTTCCATAGTGAGAGCTGGAGAACCTAATGTTGGTTCACTCTCTGGACAGTTGTGGGGAGGGTGGTCTTCATGGTTGGTCAGGGTGGGGACAGCTGAAGTGTTGTTGTTGGTCTCTAGGGTGGGAGCCAGTGGTATCCATGGTTACAGCTAGAGGAGGGAGGCACTATCTCCATGGGTGCGACTAATGAGGGAAAGGCTGTGTGACTAAGTGACAGGTAGAAGCTGGGCTGGTCACCTTGGTGACAACGGGAAGTGGGGCAGCTTGCCTCTATAGCAAGTGACATGGATCTTATAGGTCCCTGGGACCGGGGGAATGGTCTCTTTGGTGACAGCCAGGAAAAAAGCTGTCAGGTGGGGGCAGACTTGCTCCCTCCAGAGCGATACCAGAGGGTGAGGGCACGGCCGCCAGTCATGCAAGCCAGCAGGGGTCTGTCAATCTGTTTTAGCAGTGACAGACAAAGGGTTGTTTCCCCTGAAACTGGAGAAGTGGGGATGTTCTTGACAGTGACCTGGGGATCTAGCCTAGAGAAACTTCAGGGGACTCGCGGCGTAAGGGGGAAGAATGGGAGTACTCAATCTCCAGGTCACCGTTGGGGAGAGGACTGGTGCCACAGTCTCCCTGTGACTACGCGGCGTGGTTACCCATGGTACTCTGCATTTTCTACAAGTGATGAAAGGGGGGGGTTCAGTGTCCAGGTGACTGTTAAGTCTTCAGTCTTCAGAGAGATAGATACAGAGGGCATGTGGCCAGTCTCCAGATAATCCCTGGGGTCCAGCCTCCAGGCGACCGTGGGGGTGGTTCTGTCCGTGTCCAGGTGACCTCTGGAGATATAGCCAGCCTTCCGGAGACCTCGGGGTCTGCTGGCCGCCAGGAGTCCTCATAGGGTATGCCCCATTCCCTGGAAAAAGTCCGGGAAGGAAGGGAAGTCCACTGCCCAAGAGAAGTGGGGCTTAGTCGGTGTCCAGGGAACTCCAGGGAATTTGTCTCCTGGGACTGGCCATTTTCTGGGGCCCTCAGGGGGCGTGGTCGGTGTTGAAAGACCGCAGGAGGCCACAGGGGGCGTGGTCCGTCTCCAAGGGACCGCTAGGCACTCAGCCAGCCGCTAAGCGCCCAGCCGTCGGCGCCCCAGGCCTAGACACGCAGCGGGATCCAGGCGGCAGGGTCACGCGCGCCTCCGGCCCAGCCACCACCTCCCGCCCAGCCCCAGCCCCAGCCGCCGGGTGCGGGGTCGGGCGCACCGGGTGCGCGGTAGCAGTAGACGCCGAAAAGGCGCCAAGGGACCGCTAGGCACTCAGCCAGCCGCTAAGCGCCCAGCCGTCGGCGCCCCAGGCCTAGACACGCAGCGGGATCCAGGCGGCAGGGTCACGCGCGCCTCCGGCCCAGCCACCACCTCCCGCCCAGCCCCAGCCCCAGCCGCCGGGTGCGGGGTCGGGCGCACCGGGTGCGCGGTAGCAGTAGACGCCGAAAAGGCGACGCGTAGCGCGCGGATTCACGATGGGGTAGCGCGCACTCCCGTCCGCCAGCCAGCCTGCGGTGCAGCGGTCCAGCAGCTGCAGCTTCCAGGCGGCGAACAGCTGCCCCACCTTGGCCACAGCCGCGCCGCGCGCTGCGCAGGCGCGCGCTGCTCCGGAGAAGGGCAAGGGCCGCAGCGGCTTCAGGAAGAACACACGCCCTGCGTGGGGTGGAGGGACAAGTCAGGGACACTCCCAGGACCTGGCCTCCTCGGGATTCTGGACACTTCCCCACCCGCCTACAGCCCAGGACCCCAGCCTCAAGATTCAAGAGCACCTCATTCTCTGCAGCTTGGGACCCCAGCCTCTGCCTAGGCAGCGTTGATTTGCGTGAGGTGGCAGTCCCGGGGAAGGGATCTCCTTGTCTGGCCTCCGAGGGCCAGTTTGAAGAGGAAGGGCCAGGGGAAAGGGAACTGTGGGGTGGAGTGGGAGAGACTGAGAGGGAGGTATACCCGGGAGAGGCCTGTCGGGGCGCAGGGGGCTTCTTCCCAGGGGCCTACGCACCTGGGAGGTTGGAGGTGAAGCAGAAGGCGTCGTAGCGTTCCTCCGCGTTATGGCGGTAGCCATAGTTGCGCACGCCGCCGTTGGCACCTTCGCCTACCCCGGCGCTCCCGGCCCCACCGCAGGGCTCCCGGGGCTGGCTCACCGGGTACTGTACCGAGCCGTCGCGCAGCCAGCCTGCGTTGCACCAGTCCAAGCCGTCGCGCCAGGCCGCGTGCAGCTGCTCGGCTGACGCCAGGATGCCATCCTGCTCAGCGCACGCGCGCTGCGCTTCTGTGAAGGTCAGTTTATAGCGGCCTCCACGGGGGTGGTAAGGAAACACCACACCTGAGAAGACACACAAGGGTTGTTCAGTCCCCGCTCCCAACTAGCCGCCACCCACCTGACATCTGGAGTGCTGTGTCTGTTCAACCTAGATCTTCCAGCCCATCCCTCACTCTGGCCTCAGACCTGACCATATCTTTTTCAATCTCACACCTCTCACAGCTCCCTTTGCCTTAAGCTTGGTTCACTTGACCCTCCTTCTTAACATACTTAATCGTGTCCATCCCCGTTCCACCGTTGGAGACGTTCTACCTGTTGAACTCCCGTTCCTCCTTCAAAACCCAACTCCCACAACCCTCTTATGTATTTCTGACATTCTCCTAGTACTGGGACCTTCCCTCTGGTCAACCCCTGTGTCCACAAAACTGGGACTGTCTATGTCCAGTGCTGGTTCCCCTACACTGGGAGCCTCTGAAAGGCTGACTCTGAGCAAATCTCCCTTTGATCCCCAGCATTGTCTAGGGCAGTACCCGTTGGTTTCCCTTCCATGTCAGCTCTTATAACTCGTCCCTCATCAGACAGTCAATTCAGTTCACAAGTGTTCTGTGTTTGAAGGATAGACCTTTGGGGGTGAGTTGTGTATTCTCAGCAGATGCAGGAAGGAGGCAAAAAGGGGCCAGGGAGAAGACCTGGAGCCTGATAGACCATTTTCAAGTCCTGGTGCTGCTAACTCACTATGTGCCCTGGGGAAGGCTCTAACCTCCCTAAGTCAGTTGCATCGCACTAGGGTTTTTGGGAAAATTAAGTGAGAGACTCCAGAGAGCTCTTCAACCAAGCACATGGCACACAGAAAATGCCCAGTAAAGGAGAGCTGCCCCTATTATTGTTATTTGCTATAGCTGGGAAGTTCAGCCCTAAAATCTCTCCTGGCATCTTCTAAACAACTGAAGAAAAACCAGGTGGGAGAAAATTCTTCAGATAGAAACCCCACCTCCCAGCTCCACAGTCAGCCAATCAGAGCAACCCGTCTTCCGCCACAGTGATTGACTCACGGGTGGGCACGTGAGTCAAAGCTAGGCCAATGAGAGACAACTCTGGGACTCTAGCTAGCACTCCGAGGAAATCAGTTAAGCCGGGAGGGTGGAACCTTGGCACAAATTTTTGGTTCCATCAGGGGAAACTTGCCAGAGGAAAGCCCACCCAGGGAAGTGGAGCAGGGGGTGGGGGGGATTCCCGACGGGGAGTGAGTTTCTCACTGTGCCTGAATCCTACACCAGGGTTTCCCAACATCCTCACTATTGACATTGTGGACTGGATCATTCTTTGCTGTAGGGAACTGTCCTGAGCTTCATGGTATATTTCACAGCATCCCTGGCCTCTATCCACTGGATGCCACCAGCAATCGTCTTCTAGACATTGCAATATCCCTGGGTAGCAAAAATCAACCTGAATCAGAACCTACCCCACCAATCCTCTAAATTCCTTTAGGCCAATGATTTGGTTTCTGTCTCTTGCAATACTCCCCCCTCTCCCCTTAGAAACATGTGTCATCCTGCCCACAGGCTGGTTACCTTCCAGGTCCAGCTTGACCATGCCAGTGTCATCCTCCAGCTCATTGGTGACCTCGCACTCATAGCGTCCATAGTCCTGCAGCGTGACGTTTCGGAGAACCAAGGAGGCATCCCCAGGACCATCACCCTGCAGCTCAGCCCGCCCGCGGTAATTGCCAAACGCCCGGTGCTGGGGGCCCAGTGCCACGAAGACATCGGTAAAGGCCAGCGGGTCCACTACTTTGGTCCACTTGAGGCGGACACCTTCGTGGCTGTGGGCAGCTGCCTCATAGTGGTAACGGCAGGGCAAGACGATGGTGCCACCCCGGTGGCTGACCACCTGCCCAGGCGCCGTCTGCACCACCACTGAGCCCGACTCGCCCTCTGTGGGCGACCAAGGAGGGTTCAGAAGAGATCCTAGGGGCAGGGTAGGGAACCTAGGAGGGGGACCCTGGGAAAGGGATGTGGGGTTAGAAAACTTAGGTGGGGGTCAGTAAATCGGAGGAGTAAAGGGGCTTAGAGAGGGGGAGGAGAGGGGGAGACTGTGCCCGTCAGGAACGCCCAACGCCCTCCCCTTCCCCACCTCCATGCACCCCCAGCATCACCCTTGGCTACAGCTCCTGACTCACCTAGCACGTGCACGACCTTCTTCCGGCCACGCTGCGCCCCGGCGGGGGCTGCGAGCAGCAGGATTCCCCAGGCCGCGGCCCAGAGCGCACCGGGACCGAGGGCTGCTCCAGCCCACACCTGGGGGCACCAGGCGCTCAGTCCAACCTCCTGGCCTTTGCCTTTCGGAGGACTAGCCCCTTGGCCTTCCTTCTCCGCGACGAGGATTTCTCATGTACCCAGGCCTCCTCCCCAGCCAGGGTCCCAGAGGACTCCCCTAAGAAGACTGGCAGACCCCTGTCCCGACTTTCCTCTCCTGGGACTGCACACCCTCGCTCCTGCACATAGTCCCCGCCCCTGGACTTGCCTTCCCTTAGTCCTGCGCAGTAACCCACCTGATCCCCTAACCCCAACACTAGAGGTTCGGAGCCCCGCCCCCTTCTCTCTCTCTGGCCCAGGCCAGAGATGCGGGGAGGGGGGAGGAGCTGGAGGAGCGGCAGCAGCAAGGTTATCCGTGCGCCAGGAGACTGCAGCAAACCGGGCCGGGAAAGGGGGGAAGTGTAGAGAGAGGGAAAGACAGAGAGAGGGAGAGAAAAGGGAGACAGAAACAGAGAGAAAAGCAGGGAGAGATGGAGACGGGGCAGGAGTGTGAGAGGGAGAAAGACAGAAAAGGAAGGAAAGACAGATAAAGAAAGATGCAGTGGGAGAGACAGACCGAAAAGGAGAGAGGAGAGAGAACAAGAGGGAGAGACACAGAGAAGAGGGAGACATGGGAGTAGGGAGAGATAGAGAGGCTCAGAGAGGGAGAGAAAAGGGACCAGGCAAAAAAGAGGAAGAGAAAA